TCGAAATGAAAAAAAAAAAATAGAAAGAAAGAAAAAGATAACGAGAGAGAGAAGAAAGAACGAGGGAAGGGAGGCACATGCAGATGGTGAGGACGCGGGGAGATCAGGGGGGCGGCGAGGTAGGCGAAAGACAAATCCTAGCCGAAGGGAAAGAATAGCTTGTTGTTTGTCACAAAGGGTTGGTTCACACTTATATAGTTCACACTTAAAGATGTCTTGACCGAAGACGGCGTAGGTTCATACTCCGGGCCAAGGTCCCACTTGCACGGATTAAGAGATTCTGACCGTTGATCTGTGCTATCTACGGTCAACATCTCTTAATTTGTGTAAGTGGGACCTAGCCCCCGGTTGAATCCATCCTTTTCTCTTTCGAACGGAGATACAGTGCTTCCGACGAAGGGGAACACGGAAGAAAAACGAACTGGAAATGTAAGCAAAGGCAAACGGGCAACAAACAAAGCAGATGGAGCAACTAAGGAAAACTCTTACCAGGCATTTGGCAGCGAGATACCGAAACCTCGCATCCGCCGCCAAAAGGTGTTCTTGACGCAGCAGATGGAGAGCCCTTCGGTAATGCTTTCCGAGATAATAAGCCTGCGAGAGGAGGAATACATCGGCAGGAGCGCTGTCGGACATGGTGACAAGTTTGTCCGCAAAGAAGATTCCCGAGGAGTAGAGGTGTTTCCCGAGGCAATCTCGAACTACGGACCGGAGCTTCTCCAGCGTCATGCTTCCCGCCAAAACACCAGCACCGTAACCGCCCTCGGGGATCGGCGGCGGGGTCGGGGTCAGGGTGTGCTGCATCGGTCTGACAGATTCGATCACCGCCACGCGATCGCAAAAAAGAGGCGCGACTGGACGCAAAAAAAGAGGCGCGAATGGACGCAAAAAAAGAGACGCGAACGGACGCAAAAAAGACGCGGGAATGGACGCAAAAAAGACGCGGGAATGGACGCAAAAAAGAGGCGGGAATGGAGGAAAAGTTTGGGGGGGGTGCGTCTAGAGTGCATACACGATGATAGATGATGACACACGACAACGCATGGAAGAGGTGGGAATGGACGACGAAAAGCGCGGGGTGCAAGTGAGAGATCGACGATGGCCAGGCGGCGGAGGGAGGGTAGAGGTAGGGAGGTAGATCACATGTTGTGTATCAAAGGCCCGTCGTTAGCTTTTTGTCAAAGCTGGCAATGCGGCTTTTCCCGCCAGGTGGAATAACCATGCGCGCTTCGGATCTTCCTCCAAACCGCACCGCGCGCGCTTCCAGCACTCAAAACCATGGGCAAGACGTGAACGCGCGGGAGAGATGAAAAGATCCGCCGAACGCGGGCATTCACGGGCGGCAGGGCAGATTGCTACCAAGGCGTGAACGCCGGCTAGCATTTTTTTGATAGCATTTTCATCTCCCCTGCCCTTCCCGCCCATCGGTATCAACGACATTACACCACTGCCATTTTTGAATAAACCTTCAAAATCTACAAAGCCTAGAAGTTACCGGAAAACACAAAAAAAACTTGAAAAAAGAAGAAAAGGAAACAGGCACTGCACATTCGTTCCGTCCATTCCCCTGCTCCCACCCAGTGTCGGGGCCTGGCTCCAGTACTCTCGAAATGTGCAAAACGAGAGTGAATCGTCCGCTAGAAAAAGTAAACATTATGGGCCTCGTTCCACACCACTTCACTCCACTTCAATTTCAAGTGGGGCACTTGAGCTGCGTAACAGGGTAATCGTCATTAAAAAACACTTGAGCCTGGCACGGTTCGACGTTACACTCCACTCCACACTCGAAACAGGAGCGGGAAAGTGGCAGAGGCTGTTGGCGCAAGGGAAGGGGGGATGTAAAACAAAAAAAAAGAAAAAATGGGGGGAATGTGCAGCGCCTACAACCGCCTCCTGGCTCTCACTTGCGCCGTTTTGAAGTGCGGTTCAAGTGTGCCCGGAGAGGTGACTTGAAAAAATCACCTATTCGCCTGGGCCGCACTTGAGCCGCACTTTACATTTTTGGCGGGCGCCGGGGGAGGTGGGAAGCCTAATCGCGATTAGGGAAGGTGAAACTCAAGTGCAGTGCAGTGTGGAACGAGGAATTTCTCAAGTATTTCTGAAGTGAAGTGGTGTGGAACGAGGCCTTATGATATACCACGCTGTGCGTGGGGGCGCAGCCAGGACGGCGGGGGTTTCGCCGAAGCAGGCAGCTCGCTGCCCCTAGGCCTGCCCCCCGGTTCGCGGGGGGTGGAAGGGGCGAAAATCCAGTTTCACTTTGCACATTCGCTTTTCGCGTTGGAATGTGGAGTGAGGCCCTTTTTTTTTTCCTTGGAAAATTGCATTTGTATACCCAGTCCCAGCGCCAACTTGCATCTATACCCAGAAAACGTCCAGTGGAAATCGTTTGCAAGGCCAGGACCCAGGTGAACCCAGTTGGTACTGCAAAATCGCAGTTATAACCAACTATAGGAATGCAGAAATTGTGGACAGATCCAGGCAAAATTATGGGCATACCAGGGACCTGAGGAGGAGCTGCCAAATTGGTCATATACCCTGCTACCAAATTGTTCAGATACCCGGCAGCCATTGGACCACAACGGTCTACTAGGTGGGCATGAGCACAATTTCGTGCTCCGAATGCCGGGCCTGCGGGATTGGGCACCTCTACAATTTCACACAGAGGAAATGCTGGGTAGATGCAAGTTCGCGCTGGGACTGGGTATAGTGGATATTCCCATCTTTAAGTGGGGTACAGATGCATTTTTCCTTTTGTTTTTTTTACTGCACAAACCATAGGAGAGGCAAGGAATCCTCAACAAACAACCCGGGAAGAAGCGAAGGCAGCGAGGCCCAAAGACTAAAAAAAAAAAACATAAAAAAATAAATAAACATAAAAGCGTCGGAATTGGAAAAAAAGGCAACAGCGGGAGGGAGGTAGCTGTCAAATTCTTAGCCCTCACCCTTAATTACTAGACCTTTGCCCGCAAGCATGTGACGATCTCTTGAGAGGATGAGCGTTGTCGAGCGCATCAGCTCCCGTTTTTTGCAAAAGGCGAGAGCCCTTCCGGCCATGTCACCCAGGAGTGAAGCTAAACAAAACAACTCAACTCGGTAACGATACAAAATAACCTCGTGAACCGCCGAGACGGTCGTGGTCCTGTCGTCCCTTTGTCGCTCTAGCCGGGTGCGCCGGCTATACATCTCGCGGTCCCCTACGACAAGATAGGTTTTCGCGGGGCATAAGTTTTCCTTCCCTAATGGGTTGTCACCACCCTCAGGGGCGTATCCCTACTGAGCTACTGACCCACTTGCGAAAGTTTTTAAATGCAATCGTGGAGATAGATCAGCCGAGGGCGTTTGCTCGTTCGTTGTAGTATAGATACGCTTGGTTAAACGCCAAGCGGACCCGAGCGTCATTCGTTCCTTAGGGCGTTGATCTCCTAAGTATGAAACGAACGTCGGTCGACTAGGATGGTCTCAACCAAGCATGAAACCCTACATTAATCTTAGCCCCTTTGACACATATTCAAAAGAAAGTTATAACATCTACAGATAATTACATCAAAAGAAATCGACCGTAGTCGACAAAAATATATTCAATATGAAATTATAACTAAAAGAATTTAAATCATCATACAGTATATCCAACAACACAAAATCGAAATACAATTCGACCTTCTCAGGTCGAATACCACAAAAATCATACAAACGTCAATAAGGAGTTGACTACCGACAATAACATTGATGCAGCCGATAAGGTAATCGACTGCATTAGTTTTGACTTGATGAGACGCGTTGTCAAAGTCATTCATTCCAACCTACCGTCGACCTAAGACCAAACACGCATACATCTCATCTCAATGCCAACTTTGAAATGCAAGCGTGGGTTCGAATTCCCCTTGGGATAGGACCGATTTATGTGTGTCATCCTTGGGCAGGGGTCATGCTAATCTTCACTCGCCCGATCTCGGACGCGCGATCTTCGGGATCGACCTCACCACTTGGTTGTGAAAGGGCAGCTCCCAAAATAAGCTAGCCCAGATGCGTATTGTTGGTCTCGATCCCAGTGTCTGTTGGGTGAAAGTTCAGTATCATACCTTCTGGGTTAGCTCCTTCTACGAGAATAGTAAGAGCAACTCCTCTATATGAGGAACTTGCCCTGGTCATCCCTCCTTCCGGTGGTCTAGCAGACACGCCACCTCCAGCCCCTTCTTGCAGTCTGGCAGACCCTTTCTGCCTCCCCCGCCTACATTAATCGATTGCTTGCTTGCGGCACAAGCAGGTGTCCGGTCTCGTAGTCCAGGGTGTAGGATTTCTTGGTCATCAGCTTGGAGTCAAATCCCGCAAAATAAATAAATAAATTAAGTCCTTTGTATCGAGGTCTTATACCTGACGCAGTGGTTCCTTTTAGCCTAGTTAAACTCTGAATCGCGCGGCCACTTGTCATTATTTTAGGTAGAATAAGATTAGCTCTGACATTCCCACGCCTGCGCCTCTATGGCCTCGCCAAAAGCGAAGCACTGACAGTTACTGTCATTACTCTCGGACGTTGCATACGACCGGATTAAGGTTAAAAAAAAAGGTTTGTCTCACGATCATAGGCCACTTTGAATAGCTTATGGCAAATGCCAGTCTCATTAAGTTCCTCAATTCAACGAAAAAGTCGGTCAGTGTCCGACGTTAAAAATCCCCGACAAATACCTTTGTTAGGGTATTTGCCCCGACAGTGTCATTTTCTGCGTAATGGTACTGAGGGGGTTGGAGGGGAGGGGAGGGTAGAGAAGAAGGGGTCGGGCCCAATTGCACCAATGCCCCCGTTCTTTCGGGAAAGTTGGGACCACAGCGGTTGGTAGGACATGCCATAGCGAGTGAGAAAAATAACGGCTGACGCAACTTTTTTTTTTTTTTTTTTTTTTTTTCGATAACGGAACTGGGCAGGGAATTTTTTATGTGATCATTGTCATGTGGGGAATCATTTTTGAATTTCTTTTTGAATTTTGAACCTATACAGGTTCTCAAAATTTCTTCTTGCAATTAGGATTTTAATTAGGCTAGGGATTTGGGAGGGTCGTAATTTATGGCTGTAACCGCACGATGCTTCCTACTTGTGTGCGCATTGTTGCGTCTTGTTTTGCGCTCTGCTCCCACCGCGCCTAAATTCTAATCGCAACTATAATCTCTTCTTGCTTGTTCTTGGCAAGAACATATGTAACTGTAATCCTCTCCCTTCTTAATCATTTTCCGCACAATACTTTGCGTCTCTTTCCTGTCTATCTCATTGGCCAAGCAGGTGCATGACTGGATCGATGCGTGGAGAACGGCTACATCCCCTACGCTGTGGCCCTGTCATGCACCCGTAGGCACTCCATCCTTCTCTCTACCTCATGCTTCAGCATAATCCAGAATCATCTTGCACAAAATGCCGAATGCTATAAATCTCGCAAACGGAACTAATTCACTCTCTAATCTACACTTGGGAGTTAGCGGGGTCGAGAGGATCAACTAACTAGCGGAGGCAGAACAGTGAATAGGGAGTTGGGCGATCCGACTAGCTAGTGGTGGGTATGCGGGGTTGACGTGTGGCCGTGGAGGACTCTGGCACACGAGCGAACCTGGCTTGCATACTCGGACTAATCGGGATGACAACTTCAGGTTGTTGGTAGGTGCGAGGCGACGGACTGTCCACATCGTGGGAACTCCAGAGAGAATGAGAGAGAAAGAGAGCGCGGGCGTCACATACACACCTATTATGTACCCAATAAAAGTCGTTTTCTTTGCTCGTGAGCACTATATTATGTATGCCCATTTTGCTTGGTCGAAA